AAAAAAAAAAAAAAAAAAAAAAAAAAGGCTCAAAACATTTGATTAAAATAAGATAACAGGTCACTTGTTAGTAATCTATGTAAATACAGCAATAATCAAAAGTCATTAACAGGAATATAGAGAGTTACTGGGAAAAAATGAATCCTTTTAAAGCCCAGAGTTTTTTGTTGTTTCTTTTTATTTATTTTGGGGTAGATGGGGGACAGCATCTCACTCAGTTGCCAAGGCTGGAGTGCAGCAGCACAAAAGCTCACTGCAGCCTTGATCTCGCAGGCCTAAGTGATCTTCCCACCTCAGCCACCTGAGTAGTTGAGACTACAGGCACACGTTACCACACCCAGCTAATTTTGTGTGTGTGTGTGTGTTTTGTAGAGATGGGCTTTCATCATGTTGCCCAGGCTGGTATCGAACTCCTGAACTCAAGCGATCCTCCCACCTTGGCCTCTCAAACTGCTGGGATTCAGGCATGAAACACCATGCCCAACCAGATTTTTGTGTGTGTGTATGTGTGTTTTTTTTAAGTGATAAAAAACTTAACAAAGGCAACACAGGAGATTATCTCGATAATTTCTTGTAAAACCTTTCTTAGACCAGCTACCAAAAAGGCAAAGAAAAACCTTCTACAGTGTGATTATTTCTCCTTATGTGAAGTTCATTTAGATAACCTGGAAGTTGGCCAGGCACGGTGGCTCACGCCTGTAATCCCAGCACTTGGGTGGCCGAGGTGGGTGGATCACTTGAGGTCAGGAGTTTGAGACAAGCCTGGCCAACATCGTGAAACCCCTTCTCTACTAAAAATACAAAAATTAGCCGCAGTGGGTGGCATGCACCTGTAAACCCAGCTACTCAGGAGGCTGAGGCAGGAGAATCACTTGAACCCAGGAGGCAGAGGTTGCAGTGAGCTGAGATTGTGCCACTGAAGTCCAGCCTGGGTGAGAGAGTGAGAATCCATCTCAAAAAATAAAATAAAAATAAAAATAACCTGGAAGTTGAACCTGAAGAAAAGCGTGCTTGAATTTAGTTAGCAATATGTCCAAGGTTATGCGTGTAACAATTTAGATACATCAAGAAAAGCCAAGAATACAGAATCAAGTTACACAGAAGAAATACATTGCTTTTCTAGGCCTTCATGATAAATATTTCAGTGTCAGGCCATAATAACCGATTTAGAACCAAAGAAAAACTTACAGGAGCAGACAAAAAAGTTGGAGACAGTCACCATCCCAGGCCTTCTCAATGTGAAAAAAAAGAAGGCAATGATGTATGATCTGCAAATGTCATACACTGAGATGCAAGAAAAGTTGATCCTCTGAGATATGAATGAGAAATCTGAAAACCAAAACTCTACCTCAACCAATTGGCTGGTTCTGTTTATGGTGGCTCATTCCTGTAATCTCAGCATTTCGGAAGGCTGAGGCAGGAGAATAACTTA